TTTAAATGTAGCTCATTCGTAAACCTTACCTCAATTATTTGTTAATAAAGTTTTTTGAGATATTTAGGGATGTGTGTTACATAGATTGTACAGCAGCCTGAAGTTGCTATTTTCGCTGGTGTCCTGTAAGAGCGTAGTCCTTCCCAGATTGCGTCGAACCATTCATTCTACATATTTACAGTTCGGGTTCCACCACTTATGTATATAAAATATACGTAGAGAATTTATAATTATTTTTCTATTTGAATTCATTTTAATTTCTATATATAATATTGAATTTTCCTATTGTGAAATTTATACTTTTATGCCCTAGCTATAGTGAATTTTAAAGGTTACGTTATTCCGCGTAACACTCACTAAGGGTAGGATAACGTCTTTGAAATGCAAATTCGGATAAAACCGGTCGTACGGAATATTGAAGTGAATTGATGTTTGGAAATTTTACTTGGCTTCTATTTTAAACCAATATGAAAGAATTTAATCCAAAAAACTTTCTGTTTCTCACACTGGTATAAAATGTGAGTACATGATTATGTTGGTGGTTAAAACCAATAAAATGGCTACTTTGTTAAAACTGCACAGATGTCCGCTTAAGATTTTAAACAATGGTACCCACATTAGTATTCTTATTTTTTATGGGAAAAGGGTGATAAGCGAGCACACAGTCCACCTGATGGTAAGTGATTGCTGTTGCCCATAGATATCTACACCCATCCTCGTTTGCGAATCAAAATACAGATGCGTTGTCAGCCTTGAGGAATAAGATGGAATGCCTCTTTTCCAGTAAAAAGGGTCTCCGGTTCTCTACAATCACCATACGAAACACAGCCGCATTAAGCTGCTATTTGACGCTGGTATTCTGTGAGAGCGTGGTCCTTCCCCGGTCGAGCCAACCCATTCGTACTACAACTATACAATTAATATAGCTGCAGCATGGCTCTACCACGTAAACGTTTTTATCACAAATATTCGTTAAAATAAATAATTAAGTAAATAATTTTAAACATGAATTGTGATTTAAAAGAATTCGTCAAAATGATTCGTAAATAAAATTATTAAAAAATCTTTGTATATATTCAGTCGTCGGCATTTTAACATGCATAATAATAATAATAAATAATAATAAAATTTATTTCAGCAAATAGAATTGGTTTACAGACATTAGTGGCCGGATTCTCCTTATAGGCAAATAATGCCTGTACCAGGTCAATCCGCTCTTCCATATCAATATCTATATATTTTTTATTTATTATTTACATTATGAAATATGACATTACAAAGAAAAAACTTAAAGACTAAAAGGGAATATTTACAGTTTTTTTTCCTCAGATTATTGTTATTTGTTACATGTATGCGAAAGCGTGCGTGTGTATGTATGTGTGTGTGTGTGTGTGTGTGTGTGTGTGTGTGTGTGTGTGTGTGTGTGTGTGTGTGTGTGTGTGTGTGTGTGTATGTGTGTGTGTGTGTGTGTGTGCGTGCGCGTGTATGTGTTTGTATGTGAGTATGTGTGTGTGTGTGCGTTTGTGTGTGTATGTGAGTGTGTGGGTATGGAGTGTACTATTTTACTGTATGTAAAAGCAGCTCAGTGTTCTCATAATTAAGTGACTCTAACCAATTTTTTACTACCTTTTTACATTCGATATATTGTTTCGAATAAATTTCAAGTTCTTTATTGATTTTGTTATAAATTTGAGACGAGCGACTATTATATTGAGTACTAGCAAACTTAGTTTTAATTTGGTGTACTGAAGCCACATTATTTTTTCTTCTTTTTCCTTTTTTACTTGCATCGTAGGGTATATTTTTGTGTTTATTGAGTGTGATCTGTTTTATATACAGTTTCCTTACCGAAAGTAATCCACTCTCGAGATAAAGCCTTTCCGTGGGGTATCTAATATTTTTTGAAGTTCATAACTTTAATAAGCGTACGTTGTGCTCTCTCAACCTCTATAAACTTAGTTTTTGCCGCACCTCCCCAAACAGGAATGCAATATTCCAAGACAGATTCAACCAAGGCGATATATATCTCATTCAGAATTGTTCTTGATGTTTCCCGGTCACCATTTTTTGCATTATTACCTGGAACCACATGCCTTAATGATCTAAAGATCCAAATCAACTTTCTGACTCTTCCGGCAACTTGCTCAAGCTGTGGGTACCATAACAGTCTCTGATCCAATATGACACCCAGGTACTTTGTATGGGTAACTTTATTAATGATCGGGCAGTTGCATTTACTATCCTGGGTGTTACAACAATCATGAACCCTTATACTAAATCTGTCATCAGGTTGATTTTTATTATAGATACTGAAACATATATAGTTAGTTTTATTTGTGTTCAGCGAGAGCAAGTTATATTTTAACCAAGTAGCTATTTGAACCATTCCATTTTCGGCACTATTTTCCACATCTTTCCAGGAATTTCCAGAGAAGACGACTGCAGTATCATCAGCATAGGAGAAGATTTTTGCGTTATTTATTTTTAGGCTACAAAGGTCGTTGATATATACAAGAAATAATGTAGGGCCCAAAACGCTTCCCTGTGGAACTCCGTATGTTATTTCTGCATCTTCACTTAAGTACTGTTCCAACTTTACTCTCTGCTTCCTATTAGAGAGGTAGCTTTTAAAAAGAGTTAATGGTGCTCCCCTTATACCAACCTTTTCCAATTTATTTACTAGGATAGGGACAGAGACGGTGTCAAAGGCTTTTTTGATATCAAGAAACACCGTTAAACATTTATTTTTATTATCAATTTCTTCAATTATTAGCGAGCTTAGAGAAGTTACAGCATCTTCTGTGGATTTACCCGTTCTAAATCCAAATTGGGAAGGAGACAAAATATTATATTTATTTAAAAAATTTACTAAACGATTATTAATAAGCTTTTCCAAAATTTTTGATATGCTAGGTAATATGGATATGGGCCTATAATTATTCACTTCCATCCCATCTCCACCCTTGTGTACCGGAATAATAATAGATTGCTTTAACAGGGTAGGGAATATCCCCTTATTGAAACAAAGGTTGGTAAGGTGAGTTATAATAGGAACGACTTCATATCTTACAAATTTTAAATACTTTGTTGAAATCATATCCCAACCTGGTGCACTGTTAGATTTTAGGCCCATCAAGATTCTATCCACTTCATCATGATCTGTGTCAAGGAGCATGAAGGAATTTCCCAGTGCAGGCAGTGTGTCAGAAAGGTTATGTGAGTCATGCAAGGCAATATCTTTAATTTGTTGAGCAAGTTGTTTACCAATTTTAACAAAGTACTCATTAACAAAATTTGCTGCTTCGGTAGGGGTGGGCTTAGTATTTAATAATTCTGTGTTTTGGTTTTACGATTGGTTCGAGTTTGTTATATTTTTTATATTTTTCCAGAGTAGCTTATTATTTGAAACTGATTTAGCAAGTTGTTCTCTTTCATATCTTCTTTTCAGCTTTTTAATTAAATTATTGCAGTAATTTCTATATCTTAAGTACGTTATTTTTAAAATTTCATTGTGTGGGTCTTTTCTTAAATTCTTTTGTAACTTATTTCTATTATTTATGCACTTAAGAATACCAGTTGTAATCCAAGGTTTTATGATACGTTTACTCTTCGGAATTTCAATAGTAATAATATTGTTTTTTATAGAATTAGCTATATTATGCAAAAGAAGGTCAGTTAATACATTAGGGTCATAACATTCTAATAACTTAGCCAGATTACTTTCTTGTAGATATTTTCGAGCTTTGTCGTAGTCTAGTATAGATTGAGTTTTATTTGAAAATTGATTATATTTAATTTTGGATAAGCATAAAAATGTAGTAAAATGGTCTGTAATGGTGGTATGTAATATTGCTATGAAAGGTAGATCCTTTTTTACTGTCATTTTTGAGCATAAAGTGATCCAAACAGTTGAGGTTCCTTGTAGGTAGCACATGTCCCGGAAGTATTTCAAATTCTGCCAACACACCAAACCAACGTGTGAATTAAGTTATATTTTTCATATCCTAAAAATAATAATAATTAGATTTCTTCAATCATTCTTAAGGTTAAGAAACAGAAAACTCTCTAGACAATTTAAATTGCAGACCAGTGAAGAACGCAATAAGACGCTTTATTACTGGGGAAGTTTTTACAAAACATTAAAGGTTGGTTTCATTAAGTTGTTAATTAACGTAAACAACTTGATCTTGTTTTTAAATTTATTTTCAATAATTAAGAACAACTTTTAGCGATAATTTGCTTAAACGATTACAATCAGTGCGTCATCAAACATCTCATAAAATATTATCGTAAAAGTGAAGATCCATATATCCTATTCGATATAGTAAAATGTCAATTAGGAGTCGGAGCAATTGGCTTATGGAGTTCTATTTCTAAATAAATTTGCCTTTTAGAAACATGTAACAGAACGCACCCGGTTCCATTTTTAAATTTCGAGCATCTTAAAACTTATTGAGTGACCTACGTAATAAATGATACGAATAATATGAAGTTTTACTCTAACGTATTTAGCGCCACGTCTTATAAATCTAGCCACATTCATCGCTTTAAGGGTATAATTTATTTTTTACCATTACACATACTTAGAAATTATAGTGTCTGTCTGTGGTATTAAAATAATGTTTACTATTACTGTTACTGTTTACTATTAAGCCTTAGTATATTTACATATTATAAACAACCGTGAGCTTATCTTCAGAATACCTAAACCGATTGTGATGAGACTTTACGACTAAATAGGGAGCAATTCCAGGAGCTATAGTTTATGCGAAAATCTTGTATACTTAAAATTGAAAAATTGATAAATTTAAATAGTCCTTATCACAAATTTACACTATTCGTGTACATATAATAATAATAATAATAAGTCAGCGCCTTGCGGGAGGTGTGAGCACCGTGCTCGGCAGAATTTAGGGTGCAAAGGCCCGTTTGTGCTTATGGCCGCACACGATATGGTGCCAGGCCTGGGCTCCCGTTAATGGACGCCCAAATCATGGATGATGAACAGAAAGATAGTGCGCAAAGGGCCGCTGCCTGGAGGTCGCCAGGGCACGTCTGGAGCTGGCGCTGGATGTGACGGCATGCGGGCCGCCAGCAGAGCGCGGGGTGCTGCAAGACCACCTAGCAGCCCCCGGCATCCATCATCCCCACCAGAAGGCTTTGTGTCAGCTGGGTCTTCTGGTACTCAGCAAGCGGCACCCGCCGCTGGTGGAGCACGTTGCATGTATTGGTCACAAATAATGAACGCAAACGCACTGCGGGCGTACTTTAGGGCAAAAGGGAAAGAAACTGGATTTTTGGCGTATCGGGCTCGGATGCATCGCTTTTTTGCAGAGTTGGAGCCATCTCTATCCGTCACTGAGCAAAACCTGGCAGACCGAGTTCGGTACATCCTGCGCTCCAACATATTTGGTGACGACGAACTCAAACGTCTACGACGTGAGGCTGTTCCCTCATCGGATGGAAATACTACGGCTGGAAATGCGGCGCCACTAATTGCACAGCAAACTGCATATACGGATGCTGCCGTGGATTTTCCAGTTATGGTAGATTCAGAAGATGATGAAATGGTCTCCCACGAACTAGAGAATATGAGGAGCATATTAGAAGAGTCGATGCTGGAAACACGCAGTACACCTCTAGAAAATTGACCGCGACTTCCCCGCATAACCCTAAGCAAGCGGGATCGGGCTTTCGTGCGGGCTCTTAACCCAATGCTGGTGACCTATTTGGAAGCCAGCAGGGACCTTTGCGAGACGGACTCAATTTTTTTGGCGCCGCACTGGCAGTATGCCGTATTATTGTCGCCAAACTTTCCATGGCTTAACGCGCTACTCGACAAAGTAGCGCCACCCCAGCCTGGAGAAAAAGAATCGAGGACCGTATCGCAAAGGCAAGGGCCCTTATCGGCAGACTGACAAGCTTCAGGTCGGGTAATAATAGACCGAGGGTTGAGCGCGCCATTAGAATGGCGTTTGCTGGGTCAAATATTAGTTTGCCCTAGCCGGATATCACGCAGAAACTAACGGAACGCACAGATGACCTGAAGCAAAAAATCCCTGCTTGTGGGAAGCGGATTCGACAATTTAGCAGAGGTCAGCGGTTCAACTAGAATCGTCTCTTCCAGTGTGATCAGAAGAGGCTCTATAAATCATTGGAGCGACCAGAGGTATGTGGAGCGGGCCCAGGCCCGGATCAGGCTGACACTGTCGCATTTTGGCGTGCCCTGTGGTCAGAGCCCGTCAATCACAGCCAGGGCCCTTGGATGGAAGTTATGGCGAGGCAGAGTGCGAGTGTTACGCCTATGGACCCCGTCACCGTAACGCCGGAAGACGTGGCTGAGGCGGTCCCTAGGGCCCCGAACTGGAAAAGTCCGGGACTCGACGGGCTGCATAATTACTGCCTGAAGGGGTTCGTAGTGTGTCATGCTGGTCTCGCTCGCTCGCTCCCGAGCCTCTTCACTATTGGAATCACTCACTTGGTTCCTAAAGATCAGGATACCACAGACCCGAGCAAATATCGCCCCATTACGATCTACCGACCATATACAAGACACTAACATACATTTTGAGCGTAAGAATCACTCCTCACCTGGACACGAAACTGTTGATTTCGCGCACTTAAAATGGATGTCGAGGTGGTGGTCGTGAAACCAATGAACAACTCCTCATTGACGCGATCATTGGCAAAGTGGTGAAACGCAACCTTCGGAACCTCTCCGCTACCTGATTAGACTACAGAAAGGCATTCGATGCGGTGTCCCATACATAGTTAAAGAGGATCCCCGAGCTGTACAAGATTGACTGTACAGTTAGAGACTTCATTGAGCAATGTATGGGGCAGTGAAGTACGATACTTTGTCATCTGCGTAAGCAGACGACGGCTGCAGAAAGCCACATAAGGATAAGAACGGGCATCTTCCAGGGCAATTGTCTGAGTCCAATCTGGTTCTGCCTCTCTTTGATCCCTCTCATTATTTTAATGGAGGGCTTCGGGAGGGGATTTCAGCTGCAAAAAGGAGGTATAAAAGTGACCCACCTTTTCTATATGGATGACCTCAAGTTATTCGCCTCCAGTCGCTCCCATCTTGCGGAATTGCTAGATATCACGTGATTTTAATGAAACGGATAAGTGAGCGGTCCTCCATGTTGAAAGAGGAAGGGTTACTAACTCCGAGGGCATAGATTTATCTATGCCCGTCAACTTAAGGACCCTTTCCGAAGCTGAAATATACCGATACCTGGGTACGTCTCAGAGCATCGGTGTCGATGAGACGGGTTTGAAACAGTCAGTTTGCGATGTGTTTTATGTAGGGTCAGGTTATTAAGACCAATAACTATCGGAGATACATCCTAAAGGATGGCACCGCCGACGTCTTTTGAGTTTCTCACCATCCCGGTAAATCACTTATGCATGTCATATTCGGCTGTTCGGTGCTTTCTAACTCTAATTACTTACACAGGCACAATCTAGTAGCCAGAATTCTACACCAGGAGCTCGCTCTAAAATACGGTCTGTTGGACCGGAAATTGCCACATTACAAGTACTTGCCGGAAAATATCTCTACTCTCTACTCTACTCTACCGGGACCACGCCATCATCACAGATAGGACTATTATTGCGAATAAGTCTGATATTGTGCTGATGGACCGGGATATTTTTGGTCGACATTACCATTCCGTATGACGAGATTCTCGTGAAAGCCGAAACAAATAAGCAAACAAAATATCTGGACCTGGCTCACGAGGTGACCGACAGGTTTGCCGACCGAAATTAATCCTGTAGTCGTATCTGCAAACGGGCTAATACCAGTCAACCTCTCGGGTCACCTGAGGCGGCTGGGACTCCGTGACGGACTGCTCCAGGCTCAAATGCAGAAGGCGATACTCCTCGATACCGTCCGCATTGTCCGCCGGTTTCTTTCCCTTTCCCCCGTAAACCTTAGCTATTTGGTCTCACCTGCCGAGGATTCCATCTGTTTGGGCTTTTATTTATTTATGTATTATTTATTTATTTATGGTAGTATATTAAATGTATATTTACGCATATTTATCATTTTCTTTTATATATTTATTCAGCTCAACCAGATGAGAATACTCTATTAATACCCTAATTTTGTTTTGATGTGTGTTTTTTACAAAAATATAAGATGCTAGGCAGTAATTACCCGTGAAATGAGATTTTTAGATTTTTTTCATTATTATGTGATGAGTTGTGACACCCTTTTAAAGCACAGTAAGTTGTTTTTTTTGCAAAATGGCGCGAGCGCGCGCTAAATAATAATAATAATAATGGAAATTTTAGTTTACTTCCTCGCACAACTTCCTTGTGCAATCGACTACCTCCAGCGATTTTTCCGAACCGATTCAACTAAGGGACCTGCAAAAAAAGAGCATACTCTTTTTTAAAAGGCTGTCAACGCATTTGCAAAATTCCTTGTGTTATAGTCTTTCGTGGACGGTGGTAGTCACTTACCATCAGGTAAGCCGCACGCTCACCATTCGAATGAAACCCATCAAAATAATTTATTTTTTAGGTACGCTTTTGAAAGGATGAAAATTAATAACATTAAGAAGACAGATACTAAGAAGTCTAATTACGCTCAAAGACATTAATTACCCTATTAAAACTTTATAATATAATTATAAGAGCTCCATTAATATTTATGTACTATACGTACAAAATTACTATAGTCAACCTAATCTAAGAAATTCGTTTTGACGTTTCGCATTAATCATTCCGAAATAACTTTGCACCAGCGTACTCACACGATTTAAAATAACATTTCACGTAAATCGAAGAATTATGAAGTCATCTATATTTCATTAAAACTTGTATAGTTTTTTATCACTAATTAAAATTTGAATTTTTGAAACCAAGCAAAATATTAATAAATAACCAGTATCAACTTGTTTTATATGACGTCGTTTCGATGATATGTCGCTATGTATATTACTGTAGCGCTTGGATGATTAAAATTCATTGTTATCGGCAAAATATTCAAACAATCGGTAGAAATATTCAAATAATCGAATCATTATTATTTAATGTATTATTCGTTTAATTTAATTTTTATTATCAAAATTCTTAAAATTACATGAAACATGAATAAAACAAGTTTATTTTTTTACATTTTCAATGTAAATTTGTGTTGAAATAATACTAATTACGTTTTTCCGAAGTTCATACTACAAGTTCATACTGTGTATATCGGAACAAAATTTAAATTTTTTATCTATGGTAACCGCTGTTAACTATGACATTTGGACGTTGAACATCTCAGTCCAACCCGTGACCATGGGTGCTGTAAAGCGCTCGAAACGTCGGGTATTTATAGTTAAATATACGCGATAAAATCCGTAAAAACTAGTATTATTTCAATGTGTAGTGTTCGCGTAAATATAAGAAATCATTAAATTTGTGTTGGCAAAAAACTCATATACAAGACCGTGCTAAAATAACCACTACATAATTTCAATTTCCCGCCATTTCGGTACCAGCTACTCGACTCCACAGAGTCAGTAATTCATTCTTGGGGCGATGTATGCGCTTTTACAACAAAATCACAGAAAATATACAAAATTTGACGTAAATACACAAGGTTCACTAAGTTTGTATAAAAAGGGTTATTATAATATTAAGGGATTTGTGGATGATAATTATCCCCGGGAAGGGTGATCGCTACCAAGCTATTTCTAATTTGTTTTGTGTTGTTAATTGTAACACACATGATTACAAGCTATTATTTTAAAAAAAAAAACTAGTCACGTTGGGTTTTTTGCTTGTTCATCCCAGGACAGAGGTTTTTTTGCGAACCAGTGGTAAATGAAAAAAGTGACTTTCAATAAGTATTATTCATAATCTATACTGAACAAAAAAGTTTCTGTTTCTGTTTCTGTTTCGAGAGCTTATTGTGCGGAATTGTGTGATTTTGTGTATGTCTTCTTATTTTGTGACTCGTCTTTAACTTTTTGGACTGTTTCTTTTATATACTTTGAAGCATTTGCCCATGTCCAAAGGATGATTGGGCAAAAGATGACTTTGAAAGAGATATTAATTTTGACTGCATTATTGAAAATCAAATAATAATTAATATAATTAATGACATAATATCTACTAGTTGTACTGAAAGTGATTGAATAAATTTATTTTTAATCTAGTTTCAATCTTAAATTTTTATAACTGTGCCTTTAGAAATAATCAGTAACAACAAATACGAAGAAACTGATAAGTAATGTGTTTTAAATTATCCGTTTTTAATTTATTCTGGTATTATTCAAACCAAATTGCAAATAATTACCAACTCTAAATAATCAATATCGATTTTTTAAGAATCGATTATTGTACGTTCCCATTTTTCGGTTGTCATGCTTGGTGCAATAAGTCTGACAGCTGTCAAAATGTATTTCTTAGATTTGGTTGACTATAGTTAGGTTATCAGTTTCTAAATTAATGGCCGAAATAAAAAAAATTATAGCACTAGCCTCACCTTTCCTATAAGTCTTTGATTTTACTTAATTGGTATTTTCGTGTTTACTATTAAATAATAAATTTAATAGGAGTCATTTTAATGTTAATTCTAAATCTACCAAATCTCTAAGTGTGAAGATTAAGGTAAATCCTCCCTGTAACGGAAGTGGTCTTTATGCAG